TCCAACTACACTTAACAGCTGGCTTAAACCTTGCTCTGCAGCAAAATGAGCAATCCTATGGAGGATTAAGGAACATTAAGATTTTAAAGTGCCACATAAGAAGGAAGATCAAAAAGCATAATATACCACTGTCTCACTTGTAAGAAGAACTTCCTGTTTTGGGTACAGTAAAGGACTAAACCAAGAGGAGACATGGGAAGTTAGAGGGCTAGAAGAGGTAAATTTTAGGCCTAGAAGCAGAGCCTCTTAACTTTATTCAATAATAAGTATTATCTGTGTATCATATAGTGACACAACTTTCTCAGTGTCTGTAGTACTGCTCTGAAGTAGAGATGTACCTTGCAAGGCCATGTAGCACCGTCTGCTTCTATGAAGTTTTGCTGTCCTAGGTCTTTGCTGTCCCTTGCTCTAGCCTCGTCAGCACTACTACTGTTACAGCAGGACAAACATATTAAGGAAAGGCAGCATGTTTTATTTATGGTAGAGATCAATACTCTCTTTTAAAAGTTGTAGTTGCATTTTTAGGAGATATGGCTAAGACAGGATTATGCAAGCAACCATTTTTCTGAGGGCAACACTTGAGTTAGTGAATCAACATGCTCTTCTGCTTTGTCTCTTTATACCATTCTTTGATCCAGATACATGACAAATGTGCTGCACAGGGTGTTCAGAGAAAAAATTAATGCACAGTTTTCCTCCTCCTCCAAAAGTTTTTCTGGTTTCTCTGACTGTGATGGATGTCCTCTGCTTTTGTTTTCCATTGATCCTAGATTGTAAAGGAATACTAAAACAGCTTTTTTCCTGTATTCGCATCATCCAACAACAGGCCGGAAGTGTTGATTTAGGATTTCAAGCAGTATTTCTGCCTAGGGTTTGCTACATCAGTTCAGAAATTCATTGTATCAAATAACTCAGCAGCTGGTTTTTTTTTTCTTTGCCTCCTAAAAATTGCTTTTATCATCTTGTCCTCAAATGAAGGCTAATGTGTCATTAGTCAGAGCAAACACAGGGTCTGTTGGAAATCACTGCACAGGGAGGCTGTACAGAAGGATTTCTGTGCTAAACATCACCCCCAGGGAGCCTGCAATAGCTAGCATCACAGCTGCCTGGGTGTAGTTTAACTTCAATCAATGAACTTTTTGATAAAATTTTGATGCTAACTGGAATGCTGGGGAAAATGAAAAAAATTCCACTATATGAGGCATTAGCACTGTTTTATGCATCTTCCAGGACTTAAACTATGCTGTGAGCGTGTCAGTCAGTACATGAAAATAAAAGCTTCTTACAGCATTGTGGGCTGTACAAAGTAAAGGACAATAATATCTAAGTTCGGGTCAACTTTGGCAAAAGCTTAGTTTTGTTTTGGATTTGTGTTTGGTTTTGGTTTTGGGTGAAGAAGAGGAGATCAGACAAAGATAGCAGGATTATTCACGTCCATTGTGGGATGCCATTGTGCTTATTACAAGTGCAAGGACCACCTTCTGCTTCCATTCCTCACATAAAAGCAAAGAATTGAGAAAACTCACAGATGTCCTTGCTCAGTACCAGCATGAATTTCAGCATGACTACCTAAAAGCTAAAGGGATGCTGTCACTGTGGCAGACTGCTCTTAGACTGTTCAAGGCAAAGATATTACAAGGCTTAGACAAGAGGATCCACCTTAAAAAACAAAGTGTAAGACAAATTTACCATTTTATTTCTGATAAAATAATCCCTTCTTCCTGAAACCAGTATGTTGTTCTTAAGCTGAAGGACAGCATTAGAAATAAATTCAGATATGCAAATGCAACACACTTTATCTTATTTCAAAGCTGTTTCTAATAAGTTGCCAACATCTCAGCTGAAAATTATCATGTGTAGCCATCATTTAGTTTAGAAGTTATATGATGTCTCATTAATTGCTTCTGGCTACTTTTTCCAAAGCAGTAATCAATAACTTGTATTTCAAGTCATAAGTTTGATATCCTGAGACATGCAGACAAGTTTCAGTGAATCAACTGGACCTGTGAGAAACAATATGTTTAGTTAGCTGTAGGTCACACCTTACCCACACTTGATCAAAATGTGAACTAGCAAGCACCATGAGGTATAGCTTTAGCACTCACTGCCGTGCCCACCAAGGTCATTTAAAGCATTGTGACTTTAGACAAGAACATTAGTGGAACAAGGCATACAGAAGCTGATCAGGCACACACAAGTTTTGAAAGCAAGACACTTTACATTACATCTCAATATTTCAATGACTGCATGCTCTGAATTTAAAAGTCTTTGGGTAGCGTGTTTCTCAGCCTGCAATTTCATTTTGTGCCACCTAGGACTGATGTCAGCAATAAGCTTTAGAGAGGATGTGGTGTCCTACATTATCAGTGTAAAAGCCAGCACGATGCCTCATAAAATTTCACTACCTGGTCAAGAGATCCAAACTAACATTTGAGTGATATCACTGGAATTTTGCTTCTTTAAAATAATTTTCCATGTTAAAAAAAAAAAAAAAAAAAAAAAAAAAAAAAAAAAAAAAAAAAAAAAAAAAAAGCTACAAAGCAGTCCAAAAACATTTGAACAAGAGCACCTCTAGCTTGGAAAATAAAATGTAAAAAAAAATCATGCAGATTTTTTGGAATATCCTGAGCTGGAAGGGACCCACAAGGATCATCAAATGCAACTATATAGCACCAGCCCCAAGAGTCCCACCATGTGTCTGAGAGCACTGTCCAAACACTCTTGTACTCTGTCAGGCTTGGTGTTGTGACCACTGCCCAGGGGAGCCTGTTTCAGTGCCCAAACAACCTCTGGATGAAAACAATTTTCCTGATAGTTAGCCCAAACCTCCCCTGACACAACTTCAGGCTATTTCCTTGGGTCCTGTCACTTGTAACCACAAAGAAGAAATTAGGGTTGCCCCTTCTCTTCCCCTCACAGGGAAGTTGTAACTGCAATGTAACTCAGTCTCCTCCAGACTGAACAGATCAAGTGCACTCAATCTCTCCCTGTATGGCTTTCCTTTCAGGCTCTTCACCATCTTCATGGCCCTCCTTTAGACATTCTCTAATATCTTTGTATCTCACATGGTGGTACCCAAAACTGCCCCCAGCACTTGACATGAGGCTGCCCCAGCCCAGAGTGGGACAATCTCCTCCCTTGTCCAGCTGGTGATGCTGAGCCTGATGTCCATAGAGTTGCAGGGGTCCAGCTGGAGCAATGGGACCTGCACAGGCTGAGGGTCCTGAGGCTGGGAGTTTGTCACTCTCACAGCCATGGTCCTCCAGCTCAGGGCACTCGGACACCCTTAGCCCATCAGCAGTGCTGGAAACTGAGGCAAGGAAAGCATTAAACATCTCTGCCTTGTCTCTGTCCCTCTTTGGGAGGTGACCACCCTTAGCCTGTAATGGGCAATGTTACCTCAGCACTGTCTTTTTCTCTTGAACTATTTAAAAAAGCTCTTTTAATTGTATCCCACAGTTCTGGCAGCTTTAACTCCAGTATTTTTGGCTGCACTAATTTTCTCCCTTGCAGGAGTATCTTTGTTTCCCTCCCATGTCTCCTGATCTTGCCCACACATCTCCTTGTTCTTGCTTTAGCTCCAAAAGGCCCCTGCTCAGCCGAGACAGCCTTCTGCCTTACCTATTTGACTTCTAATATTTTGGAATTGCTTGTTCCTGTGCGCTTAGGAGGTGGTGCTTAAAAAGTGATCAGCACTGATAGACTCCAGCACCTTCATTTTCACAGGCTTCCTTACTCACAAGTTCTCTGAGCAGCCTGAAAAAAATATGATGTAGTGAGACCTCATGGTGTCTTCAAAAATCTGGATAGAAATGGCAATCGATTTAAAAGGTAATCACCTTACTTCAGATTTTCAAATATTTTAGCTTTCTCATCCAAATAGATGTGCAATTATTAATAAGTCACAATTTCAGTGCAAAACATACATGGAGCTCTGCAACAATGAGTAGTTTTGATAGTGCTAAACTCTAGAGAGGGGAATGAAACAATTAATATGAGGTGGAAGATAAGGGACTTGAAAGAACTGGAGGCAATAAGAGAATGGAGGAAGGAGTTTTGCATTCCTGGTTTAAAGAACGTCACCAAGAAACACAAAGACAAGAAAATCTGCAACAGTGCAGAAAGTAGAAAATATACAGATGAAAGGCAGTAGCAACACTTGAGAAGAATAAAAGCAGGATATTTTAATTCTGATTTTGTCACAATTCAGTGTATAGGCTTGGAGAAATGGTTTCCCCCATGACTCAGACTTCCTCTGTTTGAAACTGGAATGACAGTTTTTCTGAAGTGTCTTCCCCCAACCTTTCCACAGCATACTAATCACTGGTAAAAGAAAAGTATGTGAAGTTTTCTACCAGGTTTGCAATTGCTAAATAAGGGTGTTACTGCCTGTAGCTTTCAAGATCTTGGTAAGAAATAGTATTTGCCATGCTGTGCTGGACCTGTGATACCTGCAGGTCTCACTCCCTCCTGCACAGAGGATGTTTCTCTGGAATTTGCAGGTGTTCAGTGGAATAATGGAAGCTGCCAGACACTCAGGGATGGTGGAAGTTATTGGCAAGACCAAAGAAAAAGGCAGACAAGGAAAGAGCTGAGGTGACACGTACCTGAGTCACCACTGCAGGGACACAGACACCATCTGAGTCAGAGCCCAGGTTTGTGTGACAGCTCATGTCATTGCATAGAGCAACTTCCAACTGAAGACTTGCATGCGGGGAAAAATGAACTCCAGTGGCTGCTAAGGAGCTTGATGTATGAGGGAAAAGAGCTGTCACTTCTGAGCACTCCTTGGAGGCCCAGTGGAGCTGCCCCTGCAGCACCCCCAGCAAACCATCTCTACACCCTCTAGCCTGGGTCTAAATATTCAGGATCTCAAAACCTCAATGTTATGTCAGATATTGTGTCAAGGTGTCTCCTTGAAAGGAAAAAACTATGACAAGAGCTAAAGTCCTCTGCAAAATTAGGGTAAAAAAAGAAAATAAGTAGAAATTCACAGATGGTGGTGCTATGAGATTGAGGTCTTTTTAATGTGGAACTCTTATTACAGGACCTGTGAGTTACATACTGTAAATAACCAAAAGTAATAAGGGAAACAAGATACATTCCAGTCCTCAGCAAAGGTTTGGAACAAGCAAAAAAGATTATTTTCATCCCTTTTAGGTATGCACACTAATAACATAAATGTTTTATAACTTTGATTAAAGGAAATAATTTCATCTTTAATTCAAACTTTGAAGTAATTTCCAGCACAAACACAGCATCTTTTTAATTAAAATAGGAGTGGACTTTTTTTCCTTGAATGTAATAATTCTTTCTGTCCTTGGAGATCAGATGAGCATGTTGAAGTCTCTGAAATTACAGCAGAAAGTTTTGATTGTTTTTAAGGTTAAATTATTGTTAGACATCAGCATTAAGCAGCAGCTTCAATATAGAAAGGGGAAAAGTACTTATTTTCAATTACTTGTTATGAAACTGTAATGAAAAAAAAGAAGTTACAAAAAAAAAGCAAAGCACCTCAAGGTTCCCAAATTAATTTTGTTTTTAAAAGCAGAATGGTTTACAGTTATGTAGAAACCTGAAACTGCCTGAACTTGACCTGTATTGAATCTTAAAGCAGAAATAACACAGCATTTTTTCATTTCACTGTAATACCCACTAACACTGAGATGTGCTTAGTGTGTGTGTGTATGTGCATGTGTTAGGGAAGGAACCCATGTCAGGGTTTTTATTTGTGGCCCACTGATATTGTTCAAGATCTTTATTATGGTGGTTTGTGTTGCAATATGCTTTATTAAACCTCCTCTGCCAATAATTTTCTATTAACAAGCTGGTGAAACACAGTAATGAGTGCCGAGCTCAGAGCAGGGATGACCTCTGCAGTGAGAAGTCCCATGCTGGGCAGTGTTCTTTGTCACTGTTTTCAGGCATGGCTGGTTTTGTTGTTGCTGATGTATTCACCTCTAGTCCACAGGAGCTGAGCAAGGCAGAGAGAGGACACCTGTGTGAGGTGATGTGCCAGATGATGGCAGAGCTTTGAAAGGAACTGGACTGGTTAAGGAACATCAGGGAGTCTGATAAAAAGCTGCTGGAGCCATGCTCTTCCCTCCCTGAGACAGAAATAGGAACATCTGTGAGAAAAAATCTTGAAGATCCAGTATCCCACCCCCTGCAGCCCCACCCCCAACCAGAGAAGGCAGTTAACTTACAGTAAAGGAGAGAACAGAGGCAAATCGATGCTTAGGGTGGCAGGCGAGCCCTCTCCAGGAATCTGCCTCACTTCCTCAGGTTCCTCTGCACAAGAGGTGTGAGGCTCTGGATCCGGCAGGTCTGTCAGCTAATAATGTGGATGATGGTCCATCTACCCCAGAGGCGTTGCCAACATCAGAAAGGCCAACCCTGGTGTCATAACCACCTCCATCAGGAAGAAAAGATGGGTTACAACTGCTCCTCCTCTTTCAAAATACTACTGCTTAAAAGGCATTCTTTACTGTCAGACAACATTTCACATACATCTTACAAATATGCAAATTACAGTCTTACTACAAGATAATTCATGTTTATTTCTCTAGGAGCACCTACTAGGAAATATGCACAAAAGCATAGAAAATCAAAGAAAAATCCTTATTTTTCCCCAGAGTTAAAAAAAAAGCCTTGTGCTATACTTCTCAATATTGAAAACATTTATCACATAAACCCCTTGAGTATATTCCCAAAGAGTGTTACCAAACAGAAGTGCTGAGGCACTTCAGCAGATCCCCTCCCCTGGTTTGGCATGGAGGGTTGGTGCAGACTAGCTCTCACTCCCAAACCAGCAGTTCACCTCCCACAGCCCCTGCCATTGCCTGGTGCTGAGAGGGGAGTTGTGATGGATCAGTGCTCTAAAAAGCAAGACAATAAATAAATAAATAAATAAATAAATAAATAAATAAATAGCCACAGTGATAATTAAAGCTGTCTGTATTTTTACCTAAGATATCCCTCCGCATTTTTCCCCATAAAGAATTTCTGTTTGGTTTTATTATTGGTTATATATGTATGTATATATATGTATATATAATTATTATTTTTGTTTTATTGTTTTGGGTTTTTTCCCTTTTCTGTTCTCTCCTTGATTTCCTCCATTTCAGAGCCAAAATAAGTGCCTGACAGCTGGATGCTCTCTGGAAGCTGCTGCTCTCTCCCCAGTGGGCAACCCAGCATTCCAGAGAAGTGTGAAAAGCATCCCACAAAGTGAGGAAGTACCAAGAGGCTGATTAATGGCAGGCAAAAGCTGGGCCACATGCTGCAGCTCATGCAGGAGGTCCCCTGGCAAGGATTAAGCTGCTGGTCATGGCCCAAGGAATTGTATCCTTTCTTTATCCTGAAGGGGAGCTTTTGTTGTATCACTCACTGCTCACTGGCTCTTGCACTGGGGCAGGCAGTGAGGGGCTATCCCCACACCTGTCCTGGGCCACCCTTGCTCCTGCAGCCCATCAGAAGCTCTTTTCTATGCCAAAGGGATCTGTCTCCCTCACCCACATTCAGGCTGGGAGCTGTGACAGGAAGAGAAATCCTAAATGTGTTTTTTTTCATAAAAGCACTGCTGACTAAAATACATCTGCCAATCAGTGGATTGAGCCATTTGATTTGACATTTAAATGTAGTAATCTCTTACTGCAAAGTGATTTAACACTTCACTGAAACACCACAGTTACAACATAATTTTCAGAGTAAGAAAACATTAAAGAGTCACCTATCCAAGCAACCTGTTCCCAGAAATGTAACAAGGTCTGCAGGTGTCTCCTTTTGGGCCCCAGAATTGCTGCTGGTGCTGGCAGCATTGCCTGCAGGATAGAGGGGAACAGACAGGCACAAATGCTGCACCACTCTCTGGGCTGCTGCACCCAGCCCCTTCTCTCCTCCTTCCCCCAGGAACAGGCTAAAGGGGCAGCTCTTCTGAGAGCTGTTTGGGGAGAAATGTGTTGCTGTGGCTGGGAAAGAAATACATACAGTGTAAGAGGGGATAGAGGAAAAGTTGAGAAAACAAAAGGCCTCTGAAAAATCTCATGACTGAACACAAAACAGGAATTATGGAGGAAGAAATCAGTTCTTGAGTGGAGAAAAATCCAAAATAATAAAGAGTAAGAGAAATGGAAAAATCCGAAATAATAGTTCCAAACCAACAGATTAAATCAATGCATTCCTCTCTGCCTTTTTGGCAGCACTAGGCTGATGACTGCCCACTTATCCACAACTGAGGATAATATATTTCACATGAGGATTAATAGGAAGATTATACTTTTCTCTTCCTTACCATTTCTGAAAATAATATAATACATCCATCCAAAACTAATACAACCTACTTTTCAAATCCAGAATGCATTTTCACTGACCTTTTAAGGAAATCCAATACTGACAGTTGATGGTCTGTACAGTATAGTGGAAATATGGGAAGGTTAGAGGACAGTGAAAGACAAATAATATACCGATGTTCCTCCTGTCTTGTGTGTTTCATTTTTCCTGCTCTCAAAAAAGAAAGGTTTTCACCTCAAACACATCTGAGTGCTCAGAATCATGATAATGATCAAAAGGTTATTAAAAAGCTTTTAACTTTCTGCCACTTTTACATGAGATGTAATAGGTATGCGCTCTCTTTCATTTTCATTGCTTGCAGCAAAAACATTTTACAGGTTTTAGCACAGTAGCTTTTTCCTTTTCTTGATGATGCTCACCACAGGACTGTTTCTGATAAGGACCGTATGATTTCTCTCCTACACCTGCAGAGTTCTATTAGTCTAGTGTATAAAAACACAGTGCACTGCCTGGACTTAATATGCCAAAGCAAACTAGGAAAAACAGACTGAAATCAATTCAGTTAAAACATGCATGGGTTTGGTTCAATTTTTAAAAAAATTTCATTATAAACATAAGAACAGTCTATCTAAAATCTTCTTTTAAAACCAACCAGACCAATGTCAACAATAAAGTTCCAGTAACCAAACAACAAAAAATTTGTATTTTCATCTGCACTGTATTAGAAACAAATTATTTCACTTTGTGTGGGAAAGCACTTCCAAATATGCATAAAAAATGGGCAGAGATGTAATGAACAGAACATTATAGTCACATGCAAAATATAATACATACCAATGCATGTGATACATTTGTATCCAATCAGGCTTTTCAATTCCATGAATTGTTTCTAAATTGCCTTATGCCAAGCAGAAACTATGATACAGTTTATTATTAGATTTCTTTTACCCCTAATCTTGGTATTTCTCCCTAGCAATCACTGTCACAACCTTTGACCTTTCTCTGGGGTGTTAGGAGAAGGTGAATGGTGGAGCTAAAAATCCAGGGATGCAGAAAGGACAACCAACTTTTAAATGAACTGTTGAATTTTGGCACTGAAAAAAAAAAAAAAAAAAAAAAAAAAAAAAAAAAAAAAAAAAAAAAAAAAAAAAAAAAAAAAAAAAAAAAAAAAAAGACATCTGCTCTGGTCAAAACTGCATCACAACTTTTAATCTCAAATTTCCTATTCTCAGAAAAAAATGTGTGAAAATGGACTTACAGCCAAAGAAGGCCCAAACAGAAAAATATTTTGGTTTCAAAGATATTTTAAGTGCACAACTGACAGAAACAGATTTTTCAGCTTCCAGGTTTTGTTGTGATGCTACATTATCTTCATATATGATACCAACAGGAAGCAGCAATAGTACATAACAAAATCCTTTCACAAAAACAAAGTAGAGACCACCCAAGTGGTACCCATTCCTGGAAGACCTGAGAGATGCACAACTGGAGGACAGAACCCTATCTGCAAAAATTTGTATATTTAAGTGAATGAATCATCAGCTTCCACCCTCTCATCTTAATGTCAATACTTTTACTGCTCTCTCCTGTGTACATACATAAAGAGATGTAAAAATGTACCGGATTGCATTTAGTTACTCTAAAAATCACATTGCGGAAATTACAGAACTGGACTAATTTTTAAATACATGATAAACACTAACTCACCTGTTTAATGACTTCTTAAGCAATATGGGTTTTGCATCCTTCCAGCTATTACAAGATAGTATTGAGATGAAAAAAAAAATTTTCTGACTTTTAAGACGCTTGGAAGGGCAAAAGTTTTCTTGACTGGAGTTTCCACAACTGTGTCTCAGCCCAAATTCCTTTTTGAACATCAGGGAGCAAAGTTTCCTCCTTCCTTCTGTACATTTGGGAATAATGCAAAGCCCTGTTTCTCCATGTGAGCCACCTCCAACTGAAGCTGGAAAGCACTGTAGCACAGGCAGCACTTGGCAGAACAGCACAGATAGAAGGGCTACAAAGGCCCTGGTGAATGAGCAGAGTGGGACAATGCTCTCCTTTTCCCAGCTGGCGATGCTGAGCCTGATACCCCCAGGACAGGGTTGGCCTTCCTGGCTGCCAGGGCACTGCTGACTCACATCCAACCTACCACTGACCAGGACACCCAGGTCCTTTTCCACAGTGCTGCTCTCCAGTCTCTCATTCCTCAGTCTGTCCCTACACCCAGGGTTGTCCCAGGTGCAGCATCTAGCACTTTCCCTCACTGAGCTCCGTATGGCTGGTGATTGCTTATTGTCTAAGTCTCTCTGCAGGATTTAGCACACTTAACAAACAACACAGTTATGGCTACAGTATGGCTTCTGAAATTCAGTATTTGGCCAGACATAGTGCAGCAAATACATGTACACTACAACAGTGTGAAGTGCCAGAGAGCCTCCTGTTCCCAGCACCAAGATGACTTCTTGAAGAAAAGTGTCACTGCAAAGCTACCTGCCAAATTCCATAAAGACTCTGCCTTGTCCTCCTTCACAACCCTCATGAAAGCTCTGCAGAGATCATTCAACCACTTTGTAATCTGATCATGCTGAGACAGCTGACAAGGAAAGACTGCCCATTTGTATCTAAAATACATTTATTTTGCCAACATTTCAGGCTCCAATAGACCATACACTCCTGCTGCACAGTTCTTACTAGTGCTTTGCGTAATCCCACACTATTTTATACAAGCATTTAGGAAATGTAATGTTTTTCTTTTCTTTCTTTTTTTTTTTCATTGCTTACAATGATCCCTAATGCTTTATTTATCAAGTGCTCTAGAATTTACTGTGTCAAAATTAGAAAAGCCACAAATTAAAGTTTTATGAATAGCTAAAGAAAACAAATGGCATATGCCTTGAAGTAGTAGCAAATAAAAGCTCTTAGAAGAAAGAACTCAGATGCTTCTGCATTGAATAATCAGTTGTGAAGAAAAACTTAAATCTATTTAATATTAATTTAGTACATTAGTTTCAGTGGGAATATTGCCTGAAAAGGATGTCACTACTAAGATATCTGGAAAATAACCAGGCTTTTCATTTTCCCTTGCACACTGCAGTCTGTATGTAGCTACTGAGGGACAGCCTTCAATATTCTGCTTCCCTACTTTGAACTATAAATCACTTCCAGTTGTATTACACAGATGCTCAGGAGAAAAAAGAATAGGGGTCATGGTTAAAAAAATATAATACAGCTCGTAACAAAGACATTTAAAGGCTGAAAGGTTAACACTTGAGCATCTAGTACTATCTATCCTCCATTAGCTTTTTAAGTAGCATAGAAAGGAATGCAAATGCTTGCAGGCATGTAAGCATCTTTGCAATGAATATGTATTTTAGAATTTCAAACTGAACTTTCACAACATCTTTCAAGCAGTTCTGCCATTCTAAGTTACTCTTTTGAAATTCTCCAAAATTAATCATCACCTCATATGTCAGATTGTCACACATACAGAGGACAAGAGATTCACTTACTTAAGGAAACAGACAAGGCTCAGCTATTTTTTT